CTTAGGCACATCTTGCTATGACTTGCCATAATGTTTATTTGAAAGAACACTAACCCAGGGCAGCTATCAAACAATCAACAACTTCCTCTCACACTCTGAAGTAGCTAGAAAATCTTGCAAGCCCAACATACAAGTTTCCATTGCTGACTGGCATCATATCTCAGTGTAGTTGTTATAAACATATGTGACATCTACAGATGTCATGACCACTACGATACAAAGTACCACAGGACGTCTACAGATGTCATAACCACTTGCCTGGTTAAGAAGAAAATCCACTAACTGTTAAAGTGTTTGCTACGCTCTGTTGCTTCTAATTTTACAAAACACAACTTGAAAGCAAAGATGATCTACTTTCAAAGCAATAAACTGCATTCACTATGTTAATAACCAGCAGAAAGCTACACATAAAATGTACTATGGTGTGACCGATACGATGGAATATGTGTACAGACACTTTCCTACCTGTACCTGCATCACTCAGTGATACAAAGTAGCTGAGAATGATGGCAGATATTACATTTTTCAAATATTTCAAAAGTTAGCTAAGGAAACAGATAATAAACAGACCGTCCTTTCAGGAAATATGATTATAAGAGTTTAATCAAATTTAAAGAGGAAAGCAAGGGCTTCATCATTACATTTCAGTGCCTTCGTCATAATATAGAATTAGAGCCACAACCATAAATGCCAAAATTTGTGTTGAATAACAGCAATTACAACTGGAACAAAGGGTGAAAATGTCTTCAGCATTTGCTAGTATACCATGCAGAACTTCAAAACATGCAGTCTGTACATTTAAAGCAAACAATTTTGAACATTTGGTGTAAGGACTGATATTAAGATGAATCAGCTTACATGCATGAGCTGAAACATATTCCTATTTGCTTTTAAATGTGCATAATGGGCTTAGTCCTGGAATTCATTTGTGTAACCTTGTGTAACAATTATTAACTATGAAGAAAGCATTCTTGGATGTGGCACCGTGTAGATGTGGTGTTAACCGACGTTTCGGAGGAAAGTATCGCCTCCATCTTCAGTGTAGAAGGAAAAATAAGAAATCCACAAGCGAAGAGACCGTANTATATCGGGTCTTGGTGGCGAGGATGGAGGTATTCTGAAGCTGAATATGATGCCCAAGATCAATGCTGTGTTCAGCTACGGCTGACTTCTACCCTTCAACCCTGAAGATGGAGGCGATACGTTCCTCCGAAACGTTGGTTAACACCATATATACACGGTGCCACATCCCAGAAGACTGCTTTCGTCATAGTCACCACCGTGAAAACCTCAAATCTTACAATTATTTACTAATATACATAGTTTCTCCTATAAAAATGTACTTGCAATTAGTGTGTCAACCCTCAAAATACGAGATTCTATTCTATTCAGTTCAATTTAAATCAACAAGTATTAAAAACCCAACAACCAAGTATGCTTTATGATCATGAAACTTGGTTTTTAGTGCATTTTCTTGTTGATTCAATATCTCACGTTGTCCTGTTACTAGCTAATGACTCCACAAGGGCTAACTAAACTATGACAAGATATGCTCTACTGCAGTGTTCCACAACCAGTGTGCCGTCATAAGGTGAAAGGTGTGATGCGAACTTTTACCTATTGTAAGAAATTAACTGTCGAATTTTATTCGTTTTATTTTATCCCTGTTACCGTGTTTCATATGCTTGTATTTTATTCTCAGCTACTGCACTGATTAAATAAGACGATGCTTGTTTATTCTTTATTACATGCTGTGATTTTTTATGTACAGTAATCTTGTATTCTAAGAAATTAAACGTAAATTATTTACGCATAGTTGTTGTTATATCATAGTTTTCATTATTGATTTATTTCTATTTTTCTCGCATCTACGCAGCTTCTTTGATATACTTGCCGCATGTTCTGTGTACGTGCTTTTCCCTAAAACTGCAGGGATTAGCATGGGTTTTCCTGTCTTTTATAACGCTGTTTCGGTATTTGCCCGTTTGTTAGAAGTTAGAGCTTCTTCAACTTTATGACTTTCTTCCTCTAACGATGCATACACCAATTGTTGGACTTCATTTAAAATTATAAATATTTAAAAAATAAGTCGGTATAGCGTCAATTCTTCCATTTGAAGAGTAGAGATCCTGCATTGTACAATTGTTTCAGTTCTATTGCAGATGTGCTCTGAAGTAGTTCGCCAATTTTGGTTGCTAGTTAGAGAATTACAGATGGGTCGTTTGAGATGTCCCCAACTGTATGGCCATTTGCTGACGGCAATAAAGTGGTGACGGACACAATTAAAGAACATTTAGAAATTCTTCAGCAGAAATTCAATAAGTATTTTGGAAAGAGAGTAAAATATTTTGACTGGGTTCGTGATCCATTTGTTGTGAATTCAGAACATCTTCCAATTAATATACAAGAGGAACTCGCAGATTTAAAAGCAGACAGAACATTGAAACTAAAACTTCTCGAAGTGCCTTTGGATACGTTTTGGTTGGCAATAAGGAGTGAATACCCGGCCATCTCCAAGATGGAAGTTAATGTGTTATTGCCATTTTCAACTACGTAGCACGTCCACAAAGTAAGTTTCCCACTCATCCCACAGCTAGCAAACCTTATACTGCGCGAAGCGACTGCGCGTACGTGATAGAGCAATGCCGTAGCATGGCTCATGCACAAACAGAATTTCCCGCATTCCCACAGTAGCATCATTGCAGTTGTTGAAGATGGAGGCTCTTATTCCAATTCCCGCCGACTGTGAAGTGCGGTCAGTGATAAAGTTTTTCAATGCACAGAGCATAGCGCCGATCGAAATTCATCGTCAGCTGTGCCAGGTCTATGGGCCTAACGTCATGAGCAAGCAGATGGTGTCGCTGGTGCAGACAATTTTCAGCAGGTCAACAAAGTGTGCATGATGAGAAACGCAGTGGGCGCGGCCATCCATCATTACAGACGACCTGGTGGAGCTTGTGCGGGAACGCATTATGGAGAATCGTCGCGTCACAACTGTGGAAGTCAGCAGTCATGTACCACAGATTTCCCACACCTTGTTGCACGAAATTGTCACGGAGCATCTGTTGTTCAGGAAATTGTGCGCCAGGTGGGTGCCGAAGCAAATGACACCAGAACACAAAACAGAGCGCATGGAGTCAGCATTGACCTTTCTGCAGTGGTACCATGATGACGGCGATGAGTTTCTGGACCGGATCATCACAGGTGATGAAACGTGGATTGCACACATTACCCCAGAAACCAAGCAGCAGTCAAGGCACTGGCGTCACAGTGGATCTCCCTGTAAGACGAAATTCAAGCAGACGTTGTCGGGGCGGAAAGTGATGTGCACGGTATTCTGGGACAGACTGGGCGTTCTCCACGTCGACTTCCTGACCAGAGGTGAGACGGTGAACACTGAGAGTTACTGTGAAACACTGCAGAAATTGCAACGGGCCATTCAGAACCAGTGGTGCGGGATGCTTAGTGCCAGTATTGTCTTCCTGCACGATAATGCTAGGACGCACACGGCTTGACGGACAGCAAGTCTCCTGCAGGAGTTCAGCTGGGAGGTGTTTAATCATCCACCCTACAGCCCGGACCTCGCTCCCAGTGACTTCCATCTTTTCCTACACCTCAAGAAATTCCTGTCCGGTGAGCGTCAGCATTTTCAGAATGACAGAGAGGTGGAGATGGTTGTCACACAGTGGTTCCAATCCCAGGCGGTAGACTTTTATGACACAGGTATTCAAAAGTTGGTTCCATGGTATGACAAATGTCTCAATTCCAGTGACGATTATGTTGAAAAATAGCTGAACACTTGCTGTATCTGTTGCAATAAATATTTCCATGAAATTGTGTTTTGTTTCTGTACATGGCCCCAGGGAAACTTACTTTGTGGACAAGCCTCGTACATATTTGTGTGAACTAAAATTAAGACATCAAAGAGGGAGTGGCTCAAATCCATCAATGAAGAAATGAGACTTGCGTTGTCAGTGATTCCACCATGGATCAGTCGCCTGCATGCAGCTACACAGGCGCAAGTATCACATTGAAGGTATGAGTAGAATTACTGTATTTACTTTAATAGTAATAGAAGTGTATTTTCTACACTCTACAGTGAATTAAAGTTCATTAATTGTTAATAAATGTATGAGTCGATTTCTGTTTAATGATAATAAAATAATATAATAATATTATAGTAATAAGTTGATCACGTAATGTATTTATATTAATTGTCTGATATCATGCGTTTTTGAGGGGAATAACATTATGGTGTGCCGTGTTGAGTCATAGACACTTCATGGTGTGCCGCGACTAGAAAAAGGTTGTGGAACACTGCTCTACTGTATTGTTCCAGTAGGCCTAACACAAAGGAACACTGAACACTTGAAGGGATACCTTAAGGAAATTAGTATCAGCGAAATATTTCTATTTTTTACAAGGGATCTGAAAATTCAACCTTTATTTCCTGATTTTCTGAATGCCCATTATGAGTTCAAAAACATTTTAACAAATTTTAATACAATGCAAAAAATAATTTTATACGCTTCTTTGTAAAGGTGTTTGCTCAAAAAATATGTGGTCCCATGGGTAACCAGGCAATGAGAACAAATGTAAGGAATTCCTAAAATGCCTTTCTTCTTAATATAATTCCATAAACTAAAATGTAAAATTGTAATTTCATGAGATTTACATATTGTACAAGATTCTGATATGAAGCTCTTTAGCCTCTGACTACTTTTGTCATAATTTCTATATGCAGAACGTTTTAAAAATAAAAATATCATATTCAAGAAAATAAAACAAAGCAATGCCATCTGGCACAGCTTCCGTGTACTGTATATATATATATGAAAATCTAAACTTGTGCTTTTTTTGGTTGCACTGAAGTTTGATAATCCCATATGTTCAAGTCTGAAGGTTCAGACTGCAGGGACTAAAGTTGAGGAATACAAAGTGGATCTAAAAACCAAGTTCCATAATCATGAAAAAGATCGTAACTCATTATATATACGTACATGTGTGTGTTCGTTTACGTTGGTATCATCAGCTTCATAACTGTTAACCTAAAAACCATCAAACACAAAACACAGCTAAGTTGAAAGACAGGATTATCAGTTAGTAACAGAGACCACAGTGTTGCTTGTACATATAGGTATATACAAAGCATTTGAAATAGGCTTCTGATTGTCCGTAGATGAAACAGTGTGTGTGTAATTCTGGAAGTCTCCAAAGAAAAATATGCAGTCTGTGAGACAGTTCACATGACTGAAATATGTGTTTTATTATTACATATTTTTTATAAATGGTAGTGACACCATATGCTGTCATGTAAAGAATTTTAAAACAGCAATTTTTCCCAGCTGAAAATCTTGCAGTATACATTGACTTGATAGGTAAGAGAATGAGGAACACTTTCATGAGCAGAGATTTAGAGACACAAAGAGGAAAAATATCTTACACTCTCCAAGACTCCAGACTTCCTTGTGTCTCTGACAATTATTCAAAATATTAAGAACTTCACTGTTACCAAGGAGCTTGAAGGCACATTACTCATACAACATTCACAAAAACCCATCACTGGATCCTAACCTGCACAGGAAAATTAGTTCACATCTCATGCCCTTCATTTCTAAGACACATTTTAGTATTATCCTACCATTCATGCCCATGTCTTCAAATTGATCTTCCTGAATGGTGCTTCCCAATAAAAATTATATGGAATTCTTTTGTCCACAATATTAGCAGGCACATACACAACATAACAAAAAGTATTATTTTGTGACTATGACCAACAAATGCTTCTTATATGTTCACTGCTTTACAATTCACATTACCAGAATGCTGAAACTATTATTTTTCAGGAATTTGCAGCACTATTTAGATTAAATTCGTTTTATCTTCCCAAGCGTCATCTAGAAACCTAATGATTAAAATATACAAAATCAAATTATACTTGTTGATTTATATGCATGTTCTCTGACTCTGGAGGAAGAAAATAGATCCTTACTTAACACTATTACAGTGATTAAATCCAGCAGGATAGGATATACAGAACATGTATGGATGGAGAAAAGGAAAATTAATACAAGAGTTTAGGTGGAAACCTTCAAGGGCAACATACTATACTTTGAAACCCACGTATGTGGGATGATAATGTTGTAATGGTGTAGAATAGAACAAACTGACAAAGCATATAATAATGACTTAAGTCAACACAGCAATGAGCCATCAGGTACCAAGGAAGCAGGGAATTTCTTTACAAGATATCAAAATATCACTTTTTCAAAGGAAATCATGCTCTAATTAGTTATAATGTTCAGTTTCACTCTGAAAATGACTGTGATCTCCAAGTGTAGAAATGTGATTGAGGGCACATGAAGCAATAGAATTTCTTACACCTTCTTGTGATAGCTGAATCACTGTTATTTATTTATAATAACTAAAATCATTTAAGTATCTTATGGTTCTCTTCACTTACTAAATCATGTTGCTGAATTAGATTTATCATTTGATACATGAAATTCAAATCCTGAAATAAAACTGAAATTGTGTAGCATGACAACTGAATAGTGGACCCATAACAAACAGTAAAATATCTTTACTGTAAGTTTCCTGCAATGTATGGAATCAAGCTACAACTATGTCTTCAGTTCCTCATTCTACAGGGGTTACACTAACTTATGGCTATGATATATCCAAATTAATTATACCACTTAAAATAAAACAGTGAATAATCATGAAAACATAAAAAATGACTATTCTAAAGTTAGAAAACAAAAATAACAATAACAGATGTATTCTAAAGCAGTAAGGTAAGTTAGACTGGAACTGAACTCAAAACAGCTGACTGCATATTTTCCAAACTCTTTCATCAATGACAATCATAAGCCTACAATAACAAGTGAAGGCAGAGACAATAATTCTGCAAACATCTTCGTGCTTTATACAGGCAAACATCAAAATTCAGGCAAAAAAGTAAATAAAAAAACATTCAGAAGAAGCACCAGTCTACTCGTTGCAATAATGGAGAGTGCAAAGCTGGCTATCATCTTACGTACTCTCACTTTCTGAGTGGCTGAGCGCCATCTGTTAGTAGCGTTACGGGAAAGGGTTAGCTTCCGTTGTTGGGAGAAGCGAACTGAGAGCTGACGGGACAATGGGATACGTGGTATCCCATCTATGTTTGTGAACTCCTCATTGCACGAGTCCTGAAATGTCAGTCAGATTCACTGTGTGATGGATTGAAACTCCAGATGCTGCAAATACATGCTCTGATAAAAAAGCAGGCACATTAAATTTCTCTGTCCTGTAAGAAATTCTAAGCACATAATATACATTACACACACCATTCCCTGAAGTAACAGTAAGTAACCACAGCAGGGTGGAACTATACCAAAATCTATGCCTAGAAAAATATATTTATTCTAACAATAAACTCTGCTCGAGAATCTGCTTCCAAAATTGTTCATCATCTGGATAAAAAATACTGTATATACAATTCAGACTAGCATTATCTCCATTTCCACATACAAGAAAAGGGTACTTGCTCTGCTGGGTACACTGCATAAGTGTTTTTGCTGTCACTAAATAATGAAGCAGAAAGGAACTGGATTCTTTCACAGAACCTCTTTCTCAGTTCCTTTTATAGAACTGCCTTCTGATTCCATGATACAGTGCTAAGGAATAGTTTTATTTAACAGACCTCAAAAGAAGGTACTCCTTTCGTCACATTTCAAGACAGAGACAGGGATAACCTCCAGAAAGTTGTATACTGCCACATACTTTATCCAAGCAATGGAAAACATTCAGAGATTATTTTCCCGTAAAGATAGAAGAACTCTGTCACGGAGCAACTCACTTAACAGCTGCAGAACTGTTCACATATTGCAGAGATAGCAATGACAGAACTGAAGTCTAGTAATATACAAAAAAAGTTAACTAATTAAAAGTAACGGTGGTGTCAGATCTCAATATTCTACTAGAAAACACCAATTATTTAACATACTATTTAAAAGTGTAAACACACTCTGTTGGCTTTATAGAAACATGAATAAGGAAAAGAGTCAATAGCACAGTGACATTTCAGTGGACAAAAACTGCTTAAAAGTTTCCAGCATCAATCATACATCATACTCCATATCCCCATATTCCATTCAATGCCAGTCCTGCACACCAATGACACATTACTGTCTACTGTTACATGGGAAACTGAGAGTAGCAAATGTCTGAATTGCTATGTTCAATGGTATAAATTTTGAATCATCAAGTTTCAGATCACTTTCAGGTGACTTCAAGTCACCTCCATATGTCATTTTATTTTCTGTTCATATTTACTTACAATATTCTTTTAGGTTTTATCCATATGATTGTGATTAAGATACAATGTGGACATAATAACTGATCTGTTAATTAAATTCTCACAGTAACTATAATTTTATTGCAGCAGTATGAAAGAAGATTAAATCCACTCATTAGTGTAGAAGTGAAGGTTAGTGCAGAGCTTGGCCCAACAAGAAATAGCCATTCTCACCATGTTGTCCCTGAGTACCACAAACCAAACCAAACCACAACCACCACCACCACAAGCCAGACACTACCTTTCATGAAGCAACTACTGCATTAGTTGGAAGTCACAGTCATTTTAAATGAAACATAAAGTTATAAAGGCTGAAACAACATTCAAAACTGAAAACAAAACTTGTGTGGGGATTTCATTTCAGAACTTACTTGTTACTGTAACTCTCTTGATTGTCTGTTGGTTCATTTTTACAACTACACTTCATCAAATGAGAAATGAAGTGATGATTATGGAAGATGTGTTAGGAAGGAACTGGTCATGACCTAGTCTGCAGTATTATACTAGAATTTGCCTGCAAGAACTGAGAAGGGACATGAAGAACCTTAGACAGTATGACTGCATTCTGTATGGGTAATTCCTAACTATAGTACAAGACTGCTAAACCCAGCACTGTGATGCTTGGTTTCTTAACTATAGGTTATGTGTATTGTTGACAGTCTAATACAGACTCTGGAGATATCCGAGGTTTCCACAGTGGGTCGTGGATTATGACACATAACCAGGTAGGCAACTGCCAATGTTTCATAGAAACCTGTTGCCACCATCTTCATGGTAGAAGACACAGGCAGCATGTTCCTCCTAAATAATGGTAACCATCTACCACACTACACAGCATCACAGCCTGTAAGATTAAAATCTATAACATGACAATGTTAGGGTTGGGTTACTGTGTATTTTACCCTTTCAAAACTGTGTCTTCAAGCATTGACAGGTGTTCCAATTTCTGTTTTCTGCAGCTATCGACATCAATAATGAACCAGGGAACCAGAAAACAAACTGCCTACAGGCTGTAAGACTAGAACTTCATTCTTGCTTCTTTCTGCCACAACGTGATGACCAGCCATTTTGTAACAATGGATACCAGAGATTCTATCTCTGAGATAAAGTACCTGGAGTGAGAAGCGGACAACTCACATCCATCAAATGCAAACATGAAGAATGTGTGCAGTATTACTTCCAATTCCCCTATATACCTTCACAGTATGGTGCCTAGGCACAAGGACAACTTCCTTTATATTTAATAACATTTAAGGTGTTAGCCTTTGACAACTTTCTCAGTGTGATAGAATTCAAATGGTCGCAAAGATATGTACCAAGATGCCTAAAGCTGGAATAGTGGAGCCAAAGGAGACATAGGCTAGGCAACAGCTCAGTAAAGTCATCTCTGCGGCGATGAATACGAACACAACAGAAGAACTGGTGAAAGCAGTGTTTTCTATGCAGTCTGGGCCAAGACTGTTGAATAAACAAAAATTTGGTAATAAGTCCTGATGGGGCCCTTAAATAACATGCTATACATGTGCGAAATGTTACTTGACAAAAGGCCAAGCATATTCATAAGAGACAAACCCATCTTCTCATCAGGGAGGATGATTACTATTACCATAAGGGTTCAGCTCAAAAAAGCATCTCTGGTCGTGAGTCTCAAGGGGCTTGACGCCAAGACAAACTGACTGGAAGTCAGGCGCCAGTTGTAAAGTAACTTTGACTTTGATAGGGCCCTAAATGAAGAATAACTGTGCTGGTAAGAGCCAAAAGCAATCTACTGGTTCGCTATACTTTGCTCTGCTCAGAAGATTCTTCGAAAGAACAAAGATATGGGCATGGGTCCCAACAGGGCCTGAAAACAAGACTGACTGTGCTGGTGAAACCAACAGCAATTCAGCCAACCAAGTGAGCAACCAGAAGGGTCATGACACAGAGAAATATGATCATGGGCTCTGCAGGGTCCTCAATCAAGAATCATTGTGCTGGTGAAGGTCAAAAGCAATTTACCTGAAACCAAAGTCAGCTGGAGTCAGGAGTAAGCACTTATAGTTGGTGGTTAGCCATAAGCACAGCAGCAGAGGAATCTCCAATTGTTGGAAGCCACTATCTAGCAACAGCTAGTGATGAAATAAACTCAGACTTATTATATGCTGTAGTGATTTGCAGAGCGCATAGATTAGTCAGATAATAATATAATAATTTGTACTTACAAGTCATGAGCAATCAGGAAACACAATTATCAATAAAAACTCCATGTCTAGTCAATTAAAACGTGACATCATATAGTATACACACTTGCACACATAATGGCTGAAACCTTGAACAGTGGAACAAGAAGAGGCAGCCACTGCTATGAAGTGGCATGGTAAATATGTTTGTGCAGCAACATATACTGATGCAACAATAGAGGATGTGGTGTTCTCTATTTGGTCCATGACAATGCTATATAATGAGGACAAGCAGCAGTAGGCAGTCAGTTCAGTTTGTGAGCTGCAAGCAAGCAGTGGCAGTCTGTGGCTGGCCATTAGGAATTTCCATTGTTAGCAGCCACTACCTAGCAACAACTACTGATGAGAAATATCAAGCAGGAGACTGCATGTGTGCTGTAGTTGTAGTGATCTATAGTGTGTGTAAATCAGTGAGACTGTTATAGCTATTTGTAGTTATGGATTATAAGCAATAAATACATCATATTATCAATTTAAACCATTGTCTAGTCATTAAAAAGGGTAAAGTTGTCCCTGTCCTTAACTAATTAAGCACTATGCCATGAAAGCGTATGGGGGAATGGATGTATAGATCCACATTTTCTTGACATCAGCACTAGTTGGAGGTGAGTGGTCAGCTTCACACCCTGGCCGCTTTACCCCATGGGGAAAGAGCCCCTGGTACCCACTGGATAAGAGGTTGGGTGGACCCCAGTGCCAGTCTGGACATCTTGGAGAAGAGAAACTTCTTGACCCTACCGGGACTCAAACTCCAACCTCTCAGTCATCCAGCCCATAACCAGTTGCTATACTGACTACACTTCACTAACACATGACAATATGAGTACATATCTATCACAGCAATATGAATGTATTTCAGATGGATACAAAGAACAGAAATTAACAACCTGAACATACACACAAATATTCAGAGATGGTGCAGGAGTCACCATGCTTAAATAATTAATCACTGCCACAAACCTTTAAAAATGTTCTCACTTCTCATGGACCAAAAAATTAGCTCTACTACCAAAACTTTACATCTATAATGCAAACAATACTTGATAAAAATAACAATTCAGGTAGCCATTCAATCAGCTCAACCAGTTTATTTCTGTGAACCTATCATGGCCAGATTTATGTAGGGGCCACCATGGTGGTCTCCCTGGGCCCTACAAAAAACAGACAAACTCCCTAGTTCTAGTATGCAAGCCAACTATACCAAAAGAGTGACCGCCAACTGTCAATGAAGTTAGTGCCTACACTGAACAAAAATAGAATTGACACATTTTATTGAGATAGCTGCTTCTCTAAAACCACAAAATGTTATTTCTCATTTTAGTTATTATAATAAATAAGAAAGTAATAACCTACATTTGTTGTTACTGACAGGGGTCTCCAAATTCTGACTGCCCCAGGGTCACCACAACTATACACCTGGCAGTGGTACCTACTATTATTTTTGATGAACAGAAGTGTGTGCTTCTATTACATCTGTGGACTGAACAAATTTCTGTGGGAACACATCTCCAATTACATCATTGGAGTCAATATAATAGTAGGGTTTGCATAATGGAATTTTATAATACAGACATGTTTTCAAAATCATGTCTCTTCTGTAACCTGAGGGCAGGCTGACCTAGTCTGCTTACAGACATCAGTTAAGGTAGTCTGTAAATTAACTGAGATTTGAACTCAGTATCCTTACTGAAATCTTTTATAGTTTTCTTAGATTCTCCAAGCAAATGTCAGTATAGTATATGGGAGAGATGTCCAAACTGGGTTGACTGATCAGATGGTCCAGCAGAGACATGTGGCTTGATTCCATGTATTTCCTGTATGTGGTGTTTGGCTCAATCTGCAAGACCTTCACTTCATTCAAACATATGATGTGGCCTTCCTTGATTCATTGAGTGGGTCCAAATGAGTAGGTTTTACTAGAAAACAGAGGCAGAATCCAGTCCAAACACTGTTTTGAAAAATACATGGGACAGTGGTTTTTATTAAAGACAGGACGATGGATAATGTACAAAAACATATTTGTAAGAATGAAATGTTTTGAGAAAATATGTGGATCAATCAAAAAGAAATGAAAACCTGAATAGGTACTCTTGTCTCCCAGATAGATATCCACCAAGCCAGGACAGAATCACTCAAGAAGGAATGAAAGTGAAGATGAACACAAATGAAGAAGAAATACAAGCTAGCCATAATGAATGATGGCTGACATGAAAACCTAGATAGGTTATCTCGCCTCCCCAGATGAATATCTGGCATAAAGAGACGACGACCTGCTGAGAAGTAATGGAGGCCTACTTAGGGAAGATGAAGACCAGGAACAAATAGATGCTGAAATTAAGGCTGGTCTGGAAGAAGTAAAGGCAATGTTTTCGGAGGCAAATCCAGAAGAAATACAGGCCATAGCAGAGCATCAGGAAGTCCCTAACAAAGAGACTGCAGTGGAAACTTTCAGAGCACCAGAGGACTGATCCGGGAACTGGGTCTGGCCATAAGGCATTGTGAATGGCCAAAGAAACAGACCCAGGGTGATAGATGATCCCAGCAGTAGCTGACCACCACCCATGGACAGTTAACCTGCATTGCCATATCTGCCGCCGTCGTAAAGAGGCAATGGAAGGGCCCAAAATGCAACTACGATGTATGGGACTGAAGCCTATAAGAGTGTTACATGTATAAAGCAAGAGGCATTCAACAATACTGTCAGGCAAAGTCTCAGACTAAAAATTGTGAAGCAAGCAGTCAAGTTTTCCATCGGGTTGTAGAAAAATGGGTTACTGAACATTGTGGAGGAGCTGGCCACCACCCAAATGGAAGAAGAGACAAACATAGCTTAAGAGTTGGTGCTGTAGGAGCACCAGCCACTCCTGGTTATTTTCTCTCTGTGAACAGATGGTGACATACAGACAGGCTACTCGGGACAAGCAGCCTTACGGAGGGAGCAATGTGGCATATTTGCTCAAAGCAAGAATTGTGGGGCCTGAGAAACAGCCACTGTTAGGTAACAGCTGTGTAACATGCAAAAATAATAGAGCCATCACTAAGCAACGTACACACACAACAATAGTGTAACTGCTGGAAGCGGTGTTTCTATGCAATCCAGCCCGAGGCTATATAAGGAGTTGACTGTGTGTTGTGAGTTAACTTAGATCAGAAGCCAGCTGATAACTGGCAGCTGTAGCTGAAAGCTGGCAGTTGGAGCTCAGTCTAGCCCAAGAGCTAGCAGCTGATTGAAGTACCAACTGAAGCCAGTGGTCAGAATATGAGGTTGGGAAGAGATGGTCACCACCCTGCAAGGATATGAGCCCCAGGAGACCCAGAAGAAGAGGAACATCTGTTGTGGGAAGCTCCTTACCAAGCAACATAACTGATAACACTAGTCCGTGTGTGACGGTATTCTGTTAAGTGTAGTCACGAGCTGTAAAAGTGTGCAATAAACCCAATTACCATTTCAAACCCCATCTATAGTCACTCCAACATGTGACAATAATACTACACATTTTTTAGTCCATCTATCACAACTATTCATTTATAAACAAACAACTGAAGGCACAAATTTAAGGATGAAAAATCTACAATAGTAGTTGACATACACAACACGATTCAAAATAAACATATAAATAAGACAACACGTTAAATTGAAGGGGTTAAGCGCTAGTAGTAATTTTTTGGCGGGTAAGTGGGGCATTCTACCTCCTTTGATATCAGATCAGCACCTGCCCATTGCCCTACCCTTAAACTGTGTTTACAACCATACAACTGTGTTGTTATTTCCTTACTTTGATAACATGTCTATTACAAGTACTTGAAAACAAAATCAACTTGGAGCTGACTCTTTTCATTTCTGTGACACTATGAACAACAAATCAGGAACAACACCAGCTACTTACTCTTGGTCGAAGAAGGTAATAAGATTCAATGCCAAGGATGTAGTAGAGCCAAAGGAGAGCAACAGGATTGACAAATGAAGCCCACTCAGTGCTAACAAAATCCTGCATGCGGGGGTCAACATCATTCGTCTTCATTAGGAAAGTCAGCCCCAAATATCTGTGAACATGACAATGTTGTAAATGAATATCATGGTTGAGCACTCAGCACTATTGTTTTGTATTTGGATATTCTGGCTTTGAATATCAGCCCTCACACAGTTACCTTACAAGTTCCTTGTGGTTTTACTTAATCCCTACAAGGGATTCCTGGGATAATCCTTAAAATATGTCATAACCATTTCCTTTCACAGTCCATCATTCATACTTACTTTACCATTCAATGCTTCAGAAACTATGCAGGTGAAAGCCATTATATAACCGAAGAATCAAGATGAGAAGGAACCACATGTCCAGATATTCCGTGCTTCTTAAACTAAACTCTGCAAACCTCTTTTTAGAAAAATCAGAATAATGAACCACTTCCTCAGCCACCCAAGAATGTGTTACATGTATGTCTCACTTTCTCACTCACACCTAGTCACCTAGCCTCTCACCATGCTAAAATTTTACATGCTGTTTGTTTACTGTGAAAAATTGAATTTTGTAAAAGGAAGCAATAAAGGAGAAACACCTATAGGCTTTTTTGCTTCTAGTATGATTCTGGTAACAAGAAAGTCCACCATCAGGAACAGTATGGGATAAACCTTCTGACACAGTACAAGTAATACCAGACAGATCATGAAATATACAGTGCGTACAATCAAGTGCGCGCTGCGGCTGCAATTTGCCGTGAGTCATACCACCGCAGAACGGATGCAACTCCTCCCCGCGACTGCAGTGCTCCTACGCCGATGGTTGCATAATCGGAACCCGAGGTTGCATTAAACACTCAGTCTTTGTCTTGCTGTGGAAGTGGAGTGGAATGTTTACAGCTGTCGACAGACGGTGGAAATGAAGTTCACTATTAAACAGCGTGTGTTTATTGTCGAAACTATTGCAAGGAAAAACATTTACAGAAAATTCGCACGTAGGTTTCGTCAGAAATATCCTGACTCGCCAGTTCCCACAAAGTCGTGTGTAAACAGGCTTCTGAAAAAGTGGCGGGCCACAGGTTCAGTGAGTGACAAGAAGAAGCAATCGAAGAGAACTGTGCTGACTGAAGAAAAGGTTAAGGATATTCAGGCAAGATTACAGATCAGTCCTCGAAAATCGTTAAGACGCTTAGCACAGGAAACTGGTGTTTCGCTAGGATCTGCTCGCACAGCCACAAAGTTAATCAAATTTCGCCCGTATAAAGTAACAGTTGTGCATGAGCTGAAAGAACCAGATCATGCAGCAAGAATTCGTTTTTGCAACTGGCTGCTGCAAAATGTACACGATGGAATAGTGGATCCTCAGCTTCTATTCATGACTGATGAAGCGTGGTTCCACGTTGGTGGCCACGTCAATGCACAAAACGTAAGAATATGGAGCAATGAAAATCCTCACGCTATACAGCAAGTGCCATTACATAGTGAAAAGGTGGGTGTGTGGTGTGCTGTAAGCCCGCGGCGAATCATTGGCCCCATATTTTTCCACGATACCGTGAACTCTGATCGGTACATTAATGACATACTGAATCCCTTCTTCGATCAGTTGAATGCCGAAGAAAGACAATACGGGTATTTTCAGCAGGACAACGCTACAGCACATACGGCTAATGCATCCATGGTCGCAATACAGGAAGTGTTTGAAGACAGAATTGTCAGTAGAGGACTGTGGCCTCCCAGATCCCCAGATCTCAGTATTTCTGATTATTATCTTTGGGGCAACCTGAAGCAAAAAGTCTACAAAAATAATCCCCGCAGCATTGATAGTCTTCAAAATGAAATTACACGCGTAATTCATTCAATTACCGTCGACGAACTGCAGAGAGTGTCGCGTAATTTATTTGTGAGATGCGCGGCATGTTTGCAAGCAGAAGGAGGTCACTTTCAGCACCTGTTATAAACCACGGTAAGTTATCTTTTTACTGTATTCTTATAAATGTGTGCATGTAGAGCAACTGATGGACGGAGACTCAGCGACACCACTACACTCACGCTATCGGGGAACGGCACTGCAGTCGCGGGGAGGAGTTGCATCTGTTCTGCGGTGGTATGACTCACGGCAAATTGCAGCCGCGGCGCGCACTTGATTGTACGCACTGTACTTTGGGGCATGCTGTACTACATGAAAAATATTAGGTAAGTAAAACATGTAACCATTGTTTCATTTCATGTTATATCATTCTCACAGACCTGGCAGACTCTTGAGCAATGGCTCCATAGGATACCAGCTAAAGTACTGTCTAGGGAAAGAAAGATACCATGAAGAATATTATTTTCTGGGGTGTGATAACATAAAGTCTGGAAGATGTTCACTGATATTTCGGAGTAAGGTATTATCTCCATCTTCAGAGATGAAGAGTAAGCAAACTAAGCAAGGAAGCAAAATACTCCTACTCTGCTTGCTGAAGAGTAAGCAAACTAAGCTAGGAAGCAAAATACTCCTACTCTGCTTGCTGAACGCTTAATCTTTGACCTCAAAGAAGGTGGCAGTATTTTCCTCCAAATTATTGGTAAACTTCTACCATACAGCATGATATCAAAACCCAGAAGAGAGTACCCCTCATAGTCGCCACCATCAGAAACAGAAATCTCACAAAGATATTGTGCATCATTCAAAATTTCCTTCTTCAGCTATAACAGATTAGTTAGAGCTTTTAACCTGTTGTGATTCAGAGTAACTTCTCAAACAATGAAGCCTTCAGACATTTGGTTAGAATTCCTTACAAGGCGGACTGGCCCATTATCAAGTAGCGTATTACACCACACACACACATATCAGACACTGAGAACATGCATTCATGTCTCAAACAGGATTTAAACCTCAAACACTGGTGCTTAAGATGATGAAAACCATATACAACTTACCACATATGGGCATCATGACTGGTTTATTTAAAACTCATAAACTTAGTAATAAGAATTCTACAGTGAAAACCTTGGACTCCAGAAACTCTTCCAAAGTAATTTATCTCACATGGACTACCACATATATCAGAAAAGTCTTTTTAGGGATTGAGATGGATTAGAATGTGTACCTTCTGGTTTACCAACCTGCAATAATTACAGTCAGATGTGAGAAAATCTTGAACCCACTGTAGCTGAACAACAAAGAGTGCCATGATGTGCAGGGCTGCCACAACTTGAATGCAATGAAGCACCACACCAAATGGACGATGAAGTTCCTTGTAGCATGACCACCATGTCATACCACCCAAGAATGCAAGAAAGTAGACACCATTTAGAGCAGACGGTCGCAAAATGCCTGCTAGACACAGTGATGCTAGTGCTAGACATTTACCTGCAACAAATTGTTGTGTCAATAAATTCCTCTTATATCAATTTCTAATTCACGTACACTGAAGATAAAAGTTTCACCCTTTCAGAATAAAATATACCTTAAAAACACATGCACACATACACTCATAAACGCATGCACACACAGTAAGCCCTCACTAATTCAGGCTAAGTGGGAGCAAATTCTTGTCCAAATCAGTGAAAGTCCGAATTATGGAAGTGCTACTGGAAATATGTTCTGGGATGTTATAAAATAGACTTCTCATATATTTTTAGGCAATAGAACTTTATTTTGAAACTTAGATTGTGTATCATAAAATAAATTTGTCATAAAATGGAAAAATGTAAGTTCTGACATCAGTCTTGAAAACATTTTAGGTAGCCTATATACTTCGCTTTACTGAGACCATTTTAAAAAAATTAACCTATTTTGGTCTCTGTTCTTCTTTTACACCGTTCTTTTACTACAGCTTGCTGACTGGGGCAATGTGATCATCAAGGTCGTAATGTAAAAAAAAAAAAGAACACAACTTTCTGAATTAGTAGATTTCACTCTGCGTGTGCATGTGCATGTGCATAATACTTTCATACACATTTCAATTTGTTTTGAAACAAATCAGGCACTTAACCCCTGTAGCCCTGACTAATTTCAATAACAATACAGTCAATTTGCTAACTGGGTTTATTTAATGACAACGTTTCAACTTGACAGTTTATATAACATCCAACCAGACTGGAAGATGACCATGAATGATAAGTAAGTAACTGCAGCCCACATAAAGGTGCTACTCAGGAATTTCCCAAAGGCAACTAAGAAAACCGATAACATTCTGTCAGGGCAGGAGGTATTCTTGCTAACACGCAAACAAGGTACCTCCAGAATATAAATGTAGACTCTTAACGATACTTTGCTGTTTTTTTGTGGACTTGTGGCACAAAGGGGAATGAGCCTGCCACAATCTACCCACATTCCACGGACATGTTTGTACTGCTGCCAGCATGACCTTCCAGTAACAAATTTCATGTTCCTTACCTACTGTAATAAAAAAGGCCTTACGCCTATTATGATATGCCACAGCATTTGATACTGGAGGAAGAATGGCAGCTGTCGATGGGGCACTAGCTGATGAGGCACGGCTATGTGTAACTTCAGCTGAGAGTTTTGTACAACTCACATACACAGCAATTGAGGTTATTAGCATAAGTACTTCTGGAGCAATATAGCGAAAGCCATCTTCTACTCGGATCCCATTAAGTCGAATCAAACCAACATGTCGCAGAATAGTCTCAGTTGTATCTGGAAGACATAAAAACATTCACAGTAACACTGCTTGCTTAATTCTACATGATATGATGGCACATACATTGCCAGGTTTATTGCATTGATGACAAATTCAAGATTTATCATGTCTACCTGGAATAAAGCAGAAAAAATTAATGCAATAAGGGTGAGATCATGTCTGTTGACTATCAGGTACTTTTCGTTTTCCTCAATTAATTTAGGTAAATGATGTGGTAAAACAAGTCAGTTGTGTATTCATATGCTGATACTTTTGGCCAGTGGAGTGCAAATTCAAGAGAGACCTGAAGTGGAACACATAAAATTACTGGTGCAGTAAATTATTTTAGCTAATAAAATCAATAAACACATTTTAAAATAGAAAAGTGTGTTCTGACTATGCGGCCTCTGTTTAATAAATGAGGAACTGGCAAGTAATTATATTTGAATATCATGCAATAACAGCCTTTGTCAATTCTATAATGAGTAAGTGTAGAAAATACTGTCAAACAGTATACATAAATACAGAATGTGTAAAATAAATGTTAGACAATAGGGAAATGTAGAACAGGACCATTTAATACACGGAAATAAACAATTGAGTCTGATAACCCTAAAACTAAGAAGTAAGACCCAGAATTACTATAAAATTTTACTTGTAAGAATACAGTGACAATGATGCTGTGCAAAAAAGACTGTTGAAGATTATGGTCTTCTGATATGTGGTGTTGAATAGCTTTGTATATAGGTACCAAAATCTGAAAAATGTGACCGAAATCCTTGCATCAGACAGATGTGTTTCTGCAAGACTCATCGAGGAGCTTTTGGGAATACCAAAAAGTACCGTGCATCAAATTTTGACCGAGGATTTGGGCAAATGGAAGGTCTGTGCGCGGTTTGTACCGCACATGCTGTCAGACGATGAAAACATGCAAGAGTGCAACACTGCAAAGACATGTTATGGTTGGCCCAAAGTGATACAAAATTTACAAAACTGATCGTTACTGGAGACGAGACATGGTGTTTTCAATATGAGCGCCTCAAAAAACAGCAGAGTGCAGCGTGGTTGAGGCCAAAGAAAGTGTGCATGCAAAAGAGTCGAGTAAAGACACTGCTAACCATCTTCTTCAATTCCAAAGGCATCATTCACAAGGAATTTCTGCCAGAAGGTCAAACAGTAAGCAAGGTTCCTGGTTGCTCCTCCATAACAATGCCCCAACCCACAAATTTAAGATTGTGCACAATTTTTTGGCCAGAAAGGGGATCACATTCCTTGATCATCCTCCATATTCGCCAGATTTGGCTCCAGCAGATTTCTGATTGCTCCCAAAAGTTGAGTTGGTGATGAAAGGAGACCGTCACGACACCATCCAGGACATCCAAAGGGAATGTACCACAGTTTTAAATGCGATTCCACAAAAGGAGTAGAGTGACTGTTTTCAAAAACTTTTCTATCAATTCCAGCTATGTATTGATTCAGAAGGAGGCTATTTTGAATAAAAAGAGTGAAATTTTGAAAATAATTCATGTAATGTATTTTTGATGAACACAGTCCTAACAGAACCTGGACACACTGTGTATGTACACAAACTGTACTGAAGTTGCTATCAAAGGTCAACACTGGAGTCCTCATAATACTGATGTTATGAAGCAATGATTATCATCTTCAACACTTTTTAAATTAATTTTATTTGCACTTATGTAAGCCCTCTGCTGAAATACTCATTCATATCAATCTGCAAAAGTACTTACTGCTTTCTTTTAGAAAGTTTCCATATGGTGGCATAGAAAACAGAACAATCTGAAAAGAAAGTTGCGTGATGGATGCAAGGAAACTTAAAACCATCACTGCCCGCAGATACTGGCCTGTGGATCCTGAAATACATAATACAAATGATCATTCTATATGTTTTACAAACATATCTGAGCACAGTATTAAAAACTACATAGCCTAATCATTTGGAACCTTATATATGTCACACAAATGGTGACTGCTTTGCATAATTGCTTAGGTATGATTTCTCTATAAAGGATGCAGTCAATCACGTAACACTCACCAGCCATGGTCTTGTGTGTGGGTATCCTCACCATGGGTAGTAGCAGTAGGAGGAGCAGATATATAAATGATAAGCCAGTCTGGCGAAAGAGCACACCTGAAAACACAATGTAAGAGGTAAGTTAACAATATTTCTAGGTGTGTCTGTACAAAGGAACACTGTTTTTGTACCACCATTTCTCTATGACATGTTATTCGAGAGAAACAGTGTGAGACTAATGAGTGAAGAGAGGGGTGGATATATGCCTATTTTACATGCACATGCACACATAAGTAATTTGCCAGAAAACAGAAATCCAAAAGTACATTTTCAATGATTGTAGTGTTACTTTACAATGCATGAAAAGTAATCTTTAAAAAGCTGTAAATTATTTGAAGATCTATCATTATGCACAATTTCATTACATATGTTAAACCATGATAGTACTGTTCCCACCCCAGACGTTCAAGCAGCTGCCATGTTGGTATTATGCAAGGCAGTGAAACAAAAGTAACAAAGATAAGGTGGTTTCCATAGGCATTATGAACATATAACAATTTGCTTATTGGTTTTAAAGGTATTAAAGGGGCACACACACACACACACACACACACACACACACACACATATATATATATATATGGTAGAACAGAGGTAGAGGTCCATGAAATCTTAACTTCATCATTAAATGGAAATGGCTAGCTTCAATCTCAGACTGATTTACTCTCAGGAAGAATGCCTAATACCAACTTGACAGTAAGGTGATCTCCAGAAGCATTCTACATGTGATGATACAAAGAAAGCTTTCAGCTTCTGTTAGGAACAAACCCCAGTCATCCAGTCACCTTATTAAACTATACTATATCAGTGTGCCGACCACAGTGGCCGTGCGATCTAAGGTATGAACTGTATTCGCTCGCACGAACGCTGGGATCGTAGGTTCGAATCCCATTCGAGGCATGGAAGTCTATGTGCGTTTGTTCTGTGTGTAGGTGGAGGACTTGTGATGGGCTGATCCCCTTGTTGCGCCTCAATTTTGGTATTGGAAATTTAAGGCATTACCTAAATGTTCGAGACTTGCGAAAAGTGTTTTACAGCAACCAAGCAAAGATGACAACACATGGACTAGGGAACTAGGTTAAGAATGTTGATGATCAGCATTTATGCGTAATCGCATAAGTAAGAAGCTCCGCTAACTGGGCCACTGGAGTATAGTAATATTATCGCATAAGCAGCAGAGAGGACCACGGGCCCACCCACAACCCCGGGGAATAGCCAATTAGAATATAACTTTGGGAATTGAGAACGAAAAGAGGAGTTAACCTCCCTCTTTCAGCAACAGTCAATTCAGCAAGTTAAAGATATAAAATACTGAACTGAGGAGACTTGGGATCTGATCTCAAACATAATTTTCAGTTGTCAGCCGGAGGCTCTATTCAATATGGGCCTTACGAGTGGAGGATGTGGGCCTACGTCTTTTACTTCAAGTCACGTTTACTCATATAAGCCATGTTGTTATATATTCTTGTTGATAAAAGTGTGTGGAAAATATCGAAAGCAAACTCCAGTGTGCTCGGCGAACCCTTAGGGGAGAATAATTATGTAACAAGTAATTGCCTAGGAAGATAGTCTGGCAATATGCCTGTGTTATGGTGTATGTGTTAAGATTACTGGTAGTGTGAAGAATACGCACAGTTGCGTTATAGTCACGATTAATGGTTTTTGTGACAAACATGGAATGTGGGCTTTTAATATGTATAACTTTACGGGCAGAGTATTTTAAGGGAGAACATGAGGAAGCGTAGGATGCAGTAAAGACCCTATGTAGACCCGACTGTAGGTCAGTCTTGTTAATATTGTAAATAATGTAAATAAGAGTGTAAATAGACAGGGTAGTTAGAGTAGGATGTACCGGGATTGTGATTCACACCTCCATAATCACTTTTCCACGACCGATCCCGCGGATCCTACCAATATGGAAGGCAACAGCAGCCGAATGGAACCACAGTTCAGGGGAGGTACTACTGGACAGGGATAGGCACCTGCCCCGCAGGCAGCGTTTAGTAGCCTTGGTATCAACGCCCCCTTAAGAATCATAATAATGTAATACGTTGCGACCTGCAGACTATATGAAGAGTTGTCAAGAGGGAGCTATGACAATATGTCAGGGGGTAGTTCCCACCATAGAGATGACAGACGATAGGTAGAGGGGGGTCAGACCTGACACGCCCGCTCTACGCCAATAGTAAGAGGTGACAGTGATGAAAGGGCCAGCCCACAGAGGACGCTCAACTACCGCGCTACCGGCCGTTGGTACTTTTCACCAACCTTTGTACGATATAATAGATGGTGGCAGCTTTATGAGAGAAGGAAGCCCAGAAACAGGAGAATCCTAGCTGAGGGTAGGCCAGGATTATTGTGTTAACTCCTTACAGCATAAGCTGTGGTGGCAAGGAGGGGTACCTCCACGCCCCCTGCACCACGGCGTTACACCCCCATCCAAGGAATTCTACAGACTGTGTATAGGGTCAAGAAACTGAAAAAGCGGCCAAGGCCCAATAAAAGGCTGTAGAGCCATATTGATAATAACTATATCAGAGTACAAAATGCGACATGAGATGGACTTGGTACTTAAGTCCTGGCATGATCAGATTTATACTTAACAAATGCTTATCCCTTCAATTTCATATCCAACAGCAGATGTGACTGTTGCTGAGAAACTTACAAGGCTCCTGCTATTAGATGTAGGGAGGGATGAGGAGGACTCCAGCCTCCTGTCCTGATACATATTTAAGAATTAGTCTATGAGGAGCAGAAAACCCGATTCTATTAGAGGAGCTGGATATTCAGAAACATGTGATCCATATATATATATATATATGTGTGTGTGTGTGTGTGTGTGTGTGTGTGTGTGTGTGTGTGTGTGTATAAAACAATACCCTGCATTCAGCGCATATAATAAATTCTATATTTCGAAATTTTGGGGATCGCTCACAAACGAATAGCCCCCGCCTCCGAAGTGGAAAAGTACACTCAAAGATCATGTTCTTCGTGATTTTATGTGCCTCAATGCCTTCATGTTCATGTCTTCCAGGCACATATTTATCCCCGCAAATGTATTGTGACAAAGTACAGACAGTATAATCTCTAAACCCAACGCCTTATACATCCTCGTCGTTCGTTAAATATTGACGGGCCTTATAAAACGGTTCAAATAAAAGATGTAGATGTTTATGAGGAAACATTATGCGCTGACTTTCTGCTCAACGAAGTTTGACTTGATCTTCGTCTAACGCAGATGTTATTTCGGGACGATAAAATTATAATTAAATTCACTTGACAGCTTTGAACGTAAATACCGAATTTCGTCAAAATCCGTTCAGTAGTTCCGGAGTTGAAGCACAGATGTGGTATTACAGACATGGCCATCATTTCATATTAAGAGCGCATCAAAGTCAAAATATTCTTGGCATTCACGATACACGACTCGAGTGTAGCAAATTTTGAAGCCTTGTAGCATTTGGCACAGTTCGCGTACTTTCCTTTACGGCGCGCATGGCCACAAAATGTCACAATAAAAACCTGTCTTAAAAAGACTGGCCTCAGACATGTCATTGTGTCGCTGAGTTGCCACGTGTGTGTTTTTGGGGGCGGGGGCGATGACCTTTTGGTGCACCAGCGTGACCCAGATACTGGGGGCTGAAACTCGAAGATGGACTGTCAGGTGTCAGGGGGACAGATATGGCATTTATTTCCATACAGATTTTATCATTACAGAGAGATGGACAATGACAGGTTCCGTCTTGATTCCGCGTTCCTTCCTTGTTCATTGTTATTTTATGATGTGATACTCTGCTGCGATTGGGTAACGTCAAACGGAATACAGAAGGATCATTAGGAGTGGTATATAGGAATGAACGTGTTTCTTGTTAAGACACTTTCTCAAAATTGGTCTGGAAGATCTGGTGGGGCCAACTCATTTAGACCAGTCGGTATCCTGCCACAATTTGAAACTGGAGTCTAAGAAACGCAATTCTGGAGCGTTGCCGTTGCGTTAAGCAGAAGGAATAGGGACGAAGAAAAAAAGTAGCACTAATACAGCTCCTTCGACAACACATCTTAGGATGTATGCTCTGTGGAAATAATTACGAGTATTCTGATCCATGACTGTGAACTGTATCAACTTTCTCAGTGTCCGCTCATCGATGTACAGATGCAAGCTTGTAAGGTTTTCTCGCGAGCATTTACGACACGCTTTATTTCCACAAAACAAACGCGCTTGTGTCTCGCTTTTAGGTATCCGCCGCACGCAGGTGGCGGAGATGTTGCAGCACCAGCACGGCGAAAGAGCACAAGAAGATACTGAGCGTCCCAAGCATCCGATTGGCTATTAATTGTAGGCAGTTCTTTCATTTCTATCAGTCTGTTATCAACAACCTATTCATGAGAATATCCACGAAGAGCAGAAGTCGTACAATGCAATCTGAATAAAGGTTATGACACTTTCGACCTATCAATATAACAATACCGGGCTTTCGTCCTTGTAGCACTGTGGCTTGTGGTAGTGATCAAATTCTAGTGTCTGTACGGGAAAATATACTTTCGCTGCTGCATACGGTCAGGATAAATAATAATTTCACTGTTAAAGAATAACCTCGCTGTTCGCAGTCTGATAAAGACTAACTTCATACGACCGGCACCTCTGAATACGTATCCCTTCCTCCTGCCCGCAGACTGCGACAAAGGGAGCCCCCAAAACGTCATGGATGTTTTCCTTTTAACCGGATAACGAATTTTCACATGTATTTCTAACCAAGCAAGTCCGACCAGTACACTCACAGATCTAAAAACACTCTTCTTATATCTTCTTATATCCGATTCTGGCATTACTTTTCTTGCAGTCTGTTAAAGTGCAATACTATTACACCAACCAGTGCACAACGTACACTGCTCCTCCCTTTCTGTGACACAAGGAAATATCTTACAGTGCCGTGGAAGAAACTTATAAACCGAACTACGGATACTGACGATACTGTGGTGGGAAGTAACGAGAACAAACAAAACAAAACAAACTCCGTGGCCTATAGTCCGCAAGCCAACTATACCGATCGACCGCC